GTGGTTTATTAGCTTATGTTGACTTGCTAGTAATAGATACATGTAAGACGTCATTGCAGAAAATGTAGGAAAAATTTGATATATGTGAACAAGCATTAATGCTTCTAAAACCAACTGCATAAATTATTTCATAGATTATCGAGTGAATATGACGCTAAAAAACTAAATTAAATGTAATTCAATGAATATAAATCTGGTGGGAAATTCTGTTTCATGTTTTATTTTCCTTGATAGCAATTTTCATAGCCTGGTAATTAGATGACTTCATGAGATATTTTGAGAAAGCTGACTCCCTAGGACCCTGGTGAAAATCACAGAGCCACCTTAAGATGCCAGTGAATATCTGACTCCCTAAGACTAAAGTAAAAATCACTATGACTCCCTAGGACCCAGCAAAATTCTGAGACTTCGACTCTGAGGCACAGTGAATGCAACTCTGACTCCCTATGACTACATTGAAAGTGACTCTGACTCCCGAAGACCCCAGTGAAGACTCACAGTTTTAAAGATCCTAAATGGTCAATGCTACAAAATGCACTTTCCCTGAAATTAAATTTTAAATTTTTCATAGTATTTCAAGATCGTTTTTGATTTACAATTTTGTTTGTTCAATTTGAAGGTCTTTATAAAAAATTAGTTGCATTATGTCATGTTAAGTTGTTTGTTAAAGTTTAGGCTCTTTAAATTTTTTGTACATTTATCTTCATGTTTCCTTTAAACAAAGCAGTCTCTTGGCCTAGATAGCTCCGTTGTTAGCAATGCACATTCTAATTAAAGAATTGTAAACATCACAAAATGAACAAATCTGAGAGAGGTCCACCTGTTGTACTTCTATGTATACTGTGAAATACTTTATTTTTGCTTGGAATTGATTTTCGCTATTTTCGCTTAAGGAATGACTCAGTGAAAATAAATCCAGCGAATATACCTTTTTCCTATATTTTACATTCACCTCGTCAAAAATCAGTGAAAATTAATTCCAGCACTAAAGTATTATCAAATTAATCAGACTTGCAGTTTTCAGAATTGAAGATATCATCTCAAAATGAACAAATCTGAGAGAGGTCCACATGTAGTACCTATATATGTAATATCAAAGCAATCGGACTTGCGGTTTTTAACAAGAAGTCGAAAATATCACTTTTTACCCAAAATGACAAAAACATTCACCAAAATTAGAGAATTAAAGATATCATCACGAAATGAACAAATCTGAGAGAGATCTATCCAAGGTACTAATCGCTCAACAAAGTCGACAGCAGAGCTAAAAATTCAACCCAATAAATTCAACATTTTTTTTTTAAAACAGACAAGGTTTCATACCAGGCTTCCTGAAGCTCTAGTTGGGTGACTGGTACACAAACATAGGGGACGTAAAGCTATACTCAGAGTTATGGGGGAAACCAGGATTGTCATTGCATATTACAGCGTATGACACGATGGGAGTACTGGAGTGTGTACAAACCCTCAGCAGTCACTGGCTTGTTAGCTGTTGTATGTATCTGGTAGTGTCGCTCATGTGTGGGCTTTGAATAAGAAGGCAACGTTCAGCACCATCAAAGTGGTGAAACCAATTGACGGTGCTGAACGTGACAATGCATGTAATGTAAATTTCAATTGACTGTGTACACAATATGCTAATAATCTTTAACAAGGTTATAATGTAGACATATGTCATGAATATTATTTAAAAGTGAAATTATTAATTAATAGAAAGCATTTAGTATGAAAAGCCGAAATCATGTATATTTGGTCTTGACCCCACTCTATCTATTGTGGTTATTTGAAGACTGTAAACACTTAATTCTCAAATTTAACAACTGCTTTCTCGTTTTACAATACAAAAATGAGCTACGGCAAGCCTTGATTGCATACAGCACCACTAGTGGCTGTTCCCGGTTCCATGCATCCAGGAAAATGCAATGGCAAACCCCATTATAGTAAAAGTGCACATATAAATGAACACGATACTTTAAATAAAATAAATGAAAGGATACAAGTCCATAAATTCTTGTCTTGCCTGCACATACTGACAAAGCTGCCCACTCAAATGCGACAGTAATCTCTCCAAAAATGGGGCAGTTCCTCCCATTGCGAGTCGGCCTATATTTTCTATCTTATGAAGTTCGTTGAGAAGTGATACATATGATGTTCGAAGTGACTGTAAATTTAACAAAATTACATAGAATTTTAGAGACAACGTTTTTACAGCTGGGTTGAAGGCAATACATGGATGTGATCTTGGCAAATACAGAATTTTATTGATTTTGCAAGACTACCCTATCTACCGGTATGTGGCTGTTTAAAAATACCAATTTGAAAGAAAATATCAAATTAATTTAATAATAATTTAATTTGCATTTTTTACTTGTAATTTCTTTTGAGATTTTCTTCATTTTCCAATGCAGAATGGCTAACACAGTGAGGTATAACATTTTGGTGAAATCTGGAATTAAACACTTTTATTTTCAATATGTTGCAAATCTAAAAGTTCTGTAGAATAATTTGTAGAATAGTTTCATATTTGCCTTTTTAGCCATGAACTACGCCATTCCAGTTTATGTGATACTGCATAAGAAAATATGATTTGAAATTTATGCATGGTGTCTTAATAACATCAGAAATATGCCAAAGATATTAAAAAAAAAACTTTAGTGCACTTATGAATTATATGTACAAAAGAGAAATCTCTCAATGTTTTTTAAGGACAATGTGATACATTTTATTATGAATGAGGAAAACATTTACGTTTACAGTCATGGATGTATAATGGTATAGAAGTTATTTCACAACCTTGCTCATTAATAACTCAAATTAGATATTTAAATAGATTTGTTCAACCCAAACCAAAGCGGTTTAATAACAAATTCATGAACAACATGAGCAACACAATAATTAGGAGCAATCCTAATATTTAACCTCATATATTCTCGTTTTTCTCAACTTCATGATGTATTGCACCACTTATTAATGAGATTGAAAATATTGACTTACATCCTTCCTGCCAAACCATTTCTGTCCCAGAAATAGTAATCCAGAGTATGTTTTCTCTGCTGTAGCTAGATGCGACAATGCAAATAACATCTGCCCCCATGTAGACCCATAAGTATTCTTACGAGAATCCCTTTCTTTGTCCTGTGACATGAATAAATGGTTTGCTATCAGATTTGATAAATAATTCTTGCACAAGCACATTACAACCTGTGATTTCACCAGGTCCCGCCTTTTGAAATGGACAAGCTGAAAATTAACACAGCGAGGTGAGTGTATAAGGAAGCTATATACCAGTGAAATCTCTTCAAATGGTCTAAATTACGGGAGTGATAATCATTTATAATGATCTTGATTTTTTTTTATTTATCACATGAAATTGTTGTGATATTTGGTTTTTTTGCTGTAATAGTAATGTATTTTGATAATGCCCAGTTAGCTAGTGAGGTTTGGCCAGCTGCGGAATTAGGATAGATAACGTGTATTGTCATTGCTAATTGATATTCTTCTGTTCTTACTTGCGCGAGAGGATTGTGAATATTAGTTAATCAGTTGTCAACCAGCTCAAGACCAATGTCAA